CGAGCCCCGCCCCGCCCCGCCCCGCACAGACGGTACCGCCCCGCGCGGGCCAAACCCGTCCGTCGGTTGGGTTGTGTGGAGTCGCGCCGCTCCCTCCCACGCAGTGTACTCAGGCGAGGCCAGAGACTCGCTCGCTATGTCGGCTGCGGAGGCGGGGGGTGTTTTCCACAGAGCCCGGGGCAGGACCCTGGACGCGTTTTCCGCAGGTACTGCCCGTCCCGTTACCTGGGGAGGGGATGACTACAGGGCTGCGGAACCTTTCTCAGGGGGAACTTGCAGTCCCGGTGTGCGCGCCACTGGCCGGACCGGGTTCGGGGCTGCACTCGGAGGCTGGGGACTACAATAAAGTCCCCTCCGCCCACCAGCCCGCCCACAGGGCGCAGTGCAGAGGAGAATGTCCGCGTGAGGAGTCTGGTCGTGGATCCTCGCCGGCCTTCACTTCACTTCCCTGAGAGAGAAGATAGAGTAAGACAGCAAAGGAGTTAATAGTAGCGGGGACTCTCCAGTTGGACTTGGTTTCCAAGCCTTGCCTTGGACTCGTTACCCAGCAAATCTGGGCCTCAGTTTTCTCACCTGTAAAATGGGAATGATTATAGTGACGATCTGTGTGGCACTCCATAAGCCCCTGGTGCGTGTTAGAGACCGTTATTTTTATTATGGTCCGTCATCATGATGATTATACTCTGTAATCACGGTTAGTTGCTGTAATATGAGTCATCCAGCAAAATGTGAACAGTACCCATCAGAGCAGTAGCAAGGGAAGGCAGTCAGGAGTTGCGTGAGAGTTAAATGCTTGGACTTTGGATTTAGGTAACCTGCCTCGCTGCAAAAATGGATTTGTTAGTACCTCATAGGTAACAGATTAAACAGATTAAAAGTGTTCTTTAGCAGATTAGAAGCATTTTTGTAACCCAGTGTCTGACACAGGCTACGTGCTAAGTGAATGTTAGCTCTAGTGTTGTAAGTGGAGAGGGAAGTTTGTTCCTGGTTCCTTGGTCCTCTCTGTGGATTTTGCTGCCTGGTGTCAAATTCCTTCCCTTGAACTCACCAGTTTCGTAACCCAAAGGAAGAAGTCACACATGCCCTTCTCTGTCTGGCTTGTGCTCACCTTTCTTGCTTCATGCTCCATTCCCCTCCCCCAGTTCTGCCACACTGGTTTTCTTGACCTGAGTTTAAAAGGACCAAGACCAAGGTCCTTTTCTCAGGACCTTGGCACGTGCTCTTCCTTGCTCCCATAACTAATCTCAGAGCTGGTGGGCCTGGCTCTTTGTCCTCCATCACACCTTGTTTAAAGTTCAATCATTTCGTCAGACAGACTTTCCCTGGCTACCCTATCCAAAGTAGGTTTCTCCTATAATTCTCTTAAAACCTTGTTCTTTCTTTGCAGCTCTCATTATGGAATGTTAAGGTTCTGGAGAGCATGTGGGGGCCAGAAATAAAGCTGTGGTGGATTTTGGAAAATACAGTCTGCTGTATTACCCATTCTCTGAATGTTTTAATATGCCTTTTTTGCCCACTATAAGATTTTTGAGATTTATCCATATCGATGTAAGTAGCTATATCTGGTTCACTCATTTTTCTGCTGGACAGTATTCCCTTGTGTAAATGTATATATTATACATTATGTTGTTGGATAAGCTGAGTATCCTCCCTTTGGCTCCCCAGATCTACTCTCTCTTCCCCACTGTGCTCCAGGACATTGAACTCTGTGGGCTTCAATGGGCTCTTCTTGTTGGGTGCAGCCACCAGGGAGTCCTGAGCAGAGGACGGGGGAAGCAAAAGTCAGGGTGTTTATTCCCCCCAGCTTCCTCCTTGTGGGGTTTCCTTGGACTGGCTGTATTCCTTCCTGAAGGTCACTGCTTCTTTCAAGATAACCTTTCCGCTGGGACTTTTCAAATTTGGGTAACCACTTGCTCCTTCCCTCCTTTCAGATGTAGGAGTGTAACAGCTTTGCTTTTTCTATCTTTGGGCTACTAAAGTGCCCAGAGTGTAGTTTTTCTACACTGAACTCATCCCAAATAACCCCTTTTAAAACCCTCCTTTAATTATCCTATTTTGAGTATGCCTTTATTTCCTCCTAGGATCCTGATATGATGGAGTTGTTTGTTTTTCACTCCTGGTAACAGTGCTGTTAGGAACATTTTTTGGACAAGTCTTCTTGTGGGCCCATAGGGAAGTTTCTCCAGGGCACATAACCAGGAGCAAAGTTCTGGGTCATAGGGCATAATCATCCCCAGCCTTACTAGATCTTGTTAAAATGCCTTCCAAAGCCCTGGCACCAAATTATACACCCACCAGCAGTGAATGAAAGTTCCTTGCTACTCTGGTATCTTTGTCTTTTCAGTTCTACAAGTATTTATTATGTTCCTATTGCATTCTCTAGTGTCTGTGGCGAGCAGAAAAAAGAAGGGGTGGAGAAGGCAAGCGGCGTGCCCTCAGGGGCTCATAACCTGGGCAGAAAAATATAAATCTTGGCAAGTTATGGGCCCTGTAGACCACTGCAGTGAGAGGAGTTGAGATTTTAAGCACTGGTCCTGGGTGATGGTGGGGCCAGTAACTGAAATCGGGGAATAAGGAGTAGGGTCAGATTCGATGGGACTGATTTGGGAAGTGGTGGCTTTGAGGTGCCATCAGGAAATCAGGCAATTTGTGAGGCATAGGGTATAGCTGGGGGTGGAGGTGTGGGTGCCAGAGAGGAGATGGTATTGCTGTAGGAGTCAATGGCATTGTTAAGGGGGAAAGTGTAGAATAGTGGACAGTGTGTATGTAGCTAGGATGCGCCAATGTTTATGGGGTAAGAAGAAAGAACAGACATTGAAGGCCTTAGCAGAAAACAACTAGAAATTTTGGAAAATAAAACCAGGAGTCGGGCTTGGGCACCAGAGCTGGGCTTAAGGCAGGGTGCTAGACAGGGTCAGATGTTGCAGACATCTAGGTGAATGTTAGCTGAGCTGAGGATGGCAGATTTGATTGTTATGTCACCTTGAAGACAACAATTTCAGTAGAGCTGTAGGGGGAAGCCTGGTACATAGTGTTTGAGGAATGAGAGAGAGACTATAAAGTCAGCAAGGATAGGATTCTGTTTGGAGCCATTTAGTGATGCAAGGTAAGCATAAGTTAGAAGCAGCTTAAAGGAAGAATGATGCTCAAGAAGGCTGGAGGGTTTGAAATAATAATAAGAACAACAGGAGCATCTAACGTGTTTATGGCAGCCAAGCACTCTACTCTGGGCTATATGTAGATTATCTCATGTTATCTTCAAAATAGTCCTGTCGAGGTAGCTATTATAATTATCCTCTTTTTACAGTAGGAAAAAAAAATCAAGCTCGGAAAGATGAGGCAGCTTGCTCAAGGTCATACGATTGGTCTGAGATTGGTCTGGGGTTGAAAATGCAAAAGGCAGGATATTTGTTGGAGGGAGATATCCGAGGAGATGAGAAAGGATGGGATCGAGGGCTCAGATGAGGGGTTGGCTCTGGGATCAGATGTACTCTTCTATCCGTCTATCTGTCCAACTGTTTGTCCATCTATCCATCTACCAGGCCATCCATCCACCAGTCTGTCCATCATATGTCCATCTCTTCATCTGTCTGTCAGTTCATCCATTTGCCCACTCCTCAAAAGTACTGAGCACTCGCCTTGTCCCAGCCATTGTGCTGGATGCCAAGTGCAGTGATGAGTGAAAAACAGATGTGAGTCTGCACCTGTGTCACGTAGCCACTTGGAAAGCCTGATTATGTGGTTGTGGTGGGGGTGGGGCTTCCAGTGGAGATTATGGGGATGCTGAGGTGTTGAAGCTTCCTAGCCCATTGGAGCTGCCACAGGGCTGCCAGTAGCACTAGAACCCCTAGTTCACCCCCAAGCTGCCGTTCTTGCTGTCACTGACTTTTCCCTGGATTCTAGTTCCTTGTTAGCATTGCTGGCGATTTCAAGAGATGCCTTTGGAGGGTCCGGTGTCAGACCAGGCTCTGTGGGAAGGTAGAACCTCGAGCTGGTAGAGTTGCCTCAAAGGCAGGCCTGGAGAGGACGGGAAGGAACTGGCTTTCCCTGCCTGTTACCCAAAGACACATTGCCTGTCACAGAGGTTTGTTCATCTGAGGCAACAGTGCCTAAAATGACAGCCCTGACAGCTCTCACACTCACTGCTGGAAACCCCCTCCAGAACTGGCCAGGCACACGGTTTGTTTCCTGAGTGAAGCCTGGCAATGAGGAGAAGGAGTGCTGTCCTGGTCTGTTCAGGCTGCTCTGACACACCACCAGCAGGCTGGTGGCTTTATAAACGCAGGTCTGGAGGCTGGGAGTCCGAGGCCAACGCCCCTGCAGATTTGGTTTCTGGTGAGAGCCCCCTTCCTGGTTCACAGGTGGCCGTCTTCTCTCTGTGTCCTCACATGGTGGAAGCAGGGAGCAGCTCTGGGGTGTCATTAAAAGGGCACTAATCCATTACTAACCCCTCAAGACTTCATCACCTTCCAAGGGCCCCACCTCTAAGTAGCATATTGGGTGTTAGGTTTTGACAAAAGAATTTTGTGGTGGAGGGAGACACAGACATTCAGCCTTGGCAAGCACTTTAAGACCATTTCCCCTTGGTGATTTACTAGTCCCAGGCACTTCTTCCAGTAGTTACAGGTGAAGCTTGGCTTCAGTCACCCATTCCCTGTTAGCTAAATCTGCTAGGCTCTGTTGACAGATGTTTACAAAAAGTAAATTGCACATGTCTCACCTGAGAAGGCTCACATTCCTCAGGCACGTTCAGATATTCATTTTAATCAGGCGAATTGATAATTATATTTCCTTGACGCATATTCTAATCAAGACCACTTTCTCCTAGCAAATAATCATCTTTCTGAAAGTTTACAAGATCTGTTTTGAAGAAATTCTCAAAGGGAGAAATATCAAGATAAAATAAGTTTTAGAAATTACCTGTATTTAATTGTTTTCCAGCCCTGATCTGTTTTCCCAGTTCACTTTACCGCCAGAATATTTCCCCCTTAGCGAACAGGGCTCCTCCATGGTTTTCTTAAGAAGGTTACTTCCCGGACGTTTTAAAGCTCTGCAGCTGTTTCAGAGAAGCAGTTATATCACTGATCCTGAATATTTCTTGGTCCCCTCTGGAATCCCTCTCAAATGCAGAGAGTAAATGGAGTCTCTGTTAAAAAATCTCTCTCTTAAACTCCATCTCTTCCAGGTCTCACCTGAGACCTTTTCT